GTGCGGTGCAGTGTGATTTGGGTGGAGACTGCTGCCCCCGTGACTCGGTAACGGATAAGCGGATGAAAATGGATGGATGGATGAATGGATATAAATATATACCATATATAAATACGTAACACGTTTTTAATCTATATATATTATATATAGGCATAATATATATATTATATATATGTTTGTGTGCGCATAAATATATGTATGTGTATATATATAGACATTATTAATAATATATGTGTATATAAATATATATATGTACGTGTATGTGCTCAGGTATCTATATATGCACACATGTATATGTCTATATATACATACATGTATACAGTATATGTGTAATTACATATATCTTTTTAATATATATATCTTTATCGGTTTTAATGTATGTAAGACAAGCTGAGTAAAGGTGTGACTCTTTTTTTTTTTTTTTGAGAGTACAAAATTACCATCCCATCATCTGCACGTAATGCAGTAAAAAAAAAGGCATAGATAAATTATCCATCCATCCATCCATCCATCCATCCATTTTCATCCGCGGGGACAGCAGTCTCTATGACCACCACCCAAATCACACTGCACCGTACCAACCCCCCTGAACCTTCCTGCAGGTGGTCAGTCCACTGGAAGGTACCAACCACCACAACTGGGATTCGAACCTGTCCAGGAGGTGAACCCTGGGGTTCTACACCAATGACAGAGACATTGCCTCCGGGACAAAGCGCCACTAGATAAATGATTTGTTTCTTATATTAGTCAGAGGTCCCTGTAGTTATCTTATCCAGCTATTGGTCATCAACTTCTAATGTTTCCTTTGGTTTTAAATGTTGTGTTTTCAGGCAACTCCAGTCCTGCTTCCTTTTCTCTGCATCAGTGTTAAAATAGTCAAAACAAATCAATATATTTTTACAATATATTTGGAGGACACTATTGTAGTTTCTAGACAGAGTTACTGGTGGAGACGGAGGAAATAAATCCTCCAGCGTCCACTATATTTTGCTGTGTTTAACTGTAGCTGACATTTATTTCTAAGCACAAGTTAAAAGACATGGTGTAAATCATGAAAATCTCTCCTGTTGTAAAAGCAGTGAGGGAGTGTAGAATAAGCCAGTAAGAAGCTAAAGAGCAGGCTGAAATGATGTGCCAATAACTTCATGTCAGATCTCCATCATTATTTCTCATTGACATTAAATTACCTGTGTGGGTGAAGTGGCACGTTGTTTCCATTATGTGGTATTTTTAGTCCTTTTAAACGGTGTCATTTAAGCGGCGGGTCAGGAGAGGCCCATTTCACATGGAAACGGTTTTCAGTCTACTCTTTGTGAGTGTGTGTGTGTGTGTGTGTGTGTGATGAATGACTCGCAGAGCAGCAGGTCATACACACACACACACACACAGAGTTTGTGTCAGCTCCCACACTCCTGCCCTCACTGACTGTTAGTAATGAATACATTTTGATATTTCTTGCAGTGATTTGTAACTTTTTTCTTACGCTTACCATTTTTGAAGATAGAATTTTTTTTTGCAAAGATCTACCTTTTTTATAGCCTAAGATCTTCCTGCAAAAAAAGACAAATCCTCACTGACCACAAATAAATTTAGCATTCATTTCACTTGCGTCCCTCCTTTCTAGATACCGGAACAATGAACTACATTATCCTTTTCAATGATCTCATTTTTATTCAGCTTTTCAAGAAATGTGGTTAAATGTTTACTTTCTCATGTTTGTAATATCTGTTAACTTTTTTAAAAAAAACGTTCTCTTTAGTTCAACTGTTTTTTTTCTACAAGTCGTACTACAATGACTTGTTTGACACCATCACTTTGTTTCAAGGGCCACATACAGCCTGATTAGATGTCGGATATTAGATTAGATTAGATTAGATTAGTGGGCCGGACCAGTGCAATTGTAGCATAATTACCTGTAAATAACAATAAGTCCACGTTTTTCCCCTTTGTTTTCATGCAAATTACTTAAAATATATTAGAAAATATATAATGAAACTAACATATATAATGTCACTACATTGTACACAACATGTAGTGGTTGTGCATTTTTTCCACTTTCAACAGTCATCAAGCGGGCCGCAATGAACCCATGAGCGGGCCGGTTTTTGGTCTGCGCGCCGCATGTTTGACACCCCGTCAAAGTTTTTTTTTGGTACGGCGACAATACAACGCGATACGACTACAGTAGCCTCCGGATACGGAACATTTACACGGATCCGGCACGAACAAAATCTGCATTTAAACGAAGCCGCTAGCAAACAGCTAGCAAAAGAAGCATTTGAAATTGAAGTTCAGAAAGCCGGAAGGGACCCACAAAGAATACATAAAAGGCTTGCTAACCGTAACCAAATGCGAAAAGGAAGCACAAAAATGCGAAAATTGCTAACTGTAGCACGCGAAATAGCTGAATTAGCTTCTCTAGCACGGTCAAAAGGAGCATGTTTTTTTTTTGTTTGTTTTTTTTACCATTGTTGTTAATCTGTGGTGCCGAGCAGGGATACTGGGCTGCTGCGCTTTTTTTTTTTTTACATCCGAGATCCAGAGTCATATCGTCACTGTGTGAATGGGGTGTAAAATGTGCGTTTTTGATTCAATCAAACACACCTATTTTTTTTATAGAAAGTCCTTCCCAAAACGACAAGATCCCCCGGTAGAGATCACTTGCGAAAACCGCTAGCGCCGAGGTGCTAAAAGCTTTGCCAAAAAGTGTCGTTTAAGTTATTCCTTCAGCGGTGTTGGCTGCACAGGGCTCTGTGCGTCAGCCCCAGAGTTTTATGTCGGCCTGACGAGGAAGGAAAGTGACTTTACTGCAGTGAGGGAGCACGCTGAAGGTTGGCGAGAGCTGGCAGCTTTACGTCCCGAGGTCCAGGGGTCACCGGCAGATAGGCCAAATGAAAGGTTTTAGTGGTGGTTGGGCCCAGTTGTAACACACCCTGTCGTCTAGACTGCTTTAATGGGTTTACTGCATTGATGAAATATTGACAAGGGGCCGGGAGGTGAGACCCGGGGACAAATGGCCCCCCCATCTTTAGAATGGATGCGTTTCCTCCTTTTCTCCACAGTGCCCTCAGCTCCACTTTTTAAGGGCACTTTTTTTTTTTTTTTTGCACGTGTGGCTGTTGAAAAGGTCTCTCCACCTCACTGAACAACGTTGCTCAAAAGAAGTCCCGAGTTTGCTCTTTAAGCCTTTGGAAGGAGACTAAGTAAACCCTTTGGTGTTTCTGTAAAGAAAGGACCCCCTTTCACGGACCATAATGCCACACTGCAGGGTGGCATGCATGTTTTCTCTTGTGTAAAAGGCAGAGGATTAATCTTCCCTTGACCTGGCCGTCTGGTTTTTGCATACTTTGGTGCTTCTTTTTTTAAAAAAATTGTACGCGCAGTTCCTAGCAACACAGACTGCATTCGGACCAAAAACTAAAGTCAAATTAAAGTAACAGTCAGAGTCTAATCCTGAGTCATTTCTCACTGTCTAATTAAAGCCTTATGTTGGTCCACCGACCTAACGTGGGATATCTCTCTTCTTTGCAACATGTATGTATAGGTTTTTTTTTTTTTTTGCCATAGCTTAGAACAGAGTTTCTTAACCCTGTGACCTCAGAGGCCCAACTTTTCCTTTACAAAGCAACCCAGGGCCCATGCGAATATTATCACGGTATCGGTTTCACTAATTGACCCTACTCTCGGTTTTGATTTGTATTGAGTAACTAAATTAAAATGGACTTACAGACTTACAAGTGAAAAATTTGGCTTTCAAACCACAGACAGAGTTTCTAGTCAGTGACATGACTTGTTAGAAGTTTCTTTTGTTCACTCGAGTTTGTTAAACATCTAACTCATTATCGCCCCAAGTGGTGGGACGCTGTGATGTCTCTGTATGTTGCTAGAGTAACAGTGATATTCCTATTCTCTTAAATTGATAGACAATGTGTCCCTCACGACCAGGAGGTGGAAAACTAAGATTTTTTTTGGGGACCCTTAAAATGGTTTGTGTCACGACCCAAACCTGAGCTGCGGCCCTGTGGTTTAGAATCACTGGCTTTTCTGTAAAAAATTTTCTCCGACGGATATATCTGGCTTTTCTTGTTGGTTTTACAGACGGCTGATAAGAAATGCTGTCCTTATTTGCCCGATAATGTGTAAATAATTAAAAGGTTTTACGGTGAACAGTCTTTTTACAATGCTTGTTGATTCTTGCATCTACATGAATATGAGGCTAAGGCAAGAGCCTGGTGGTTTAAACCGTAGATACTCTTAGGGAAGTCCATTTTTTTTTAAATTTTACTTAAGCAAAGCCATATCTTGAAAGAGTGATAAAAACAAGTGTGATCCCTGGTGACAACACTTTGGTCTTCTGCATAGAGTTTTCATGTTAGGTCAGTTGGACACTCTAAATCAGGCGTCACCGATCTTTTTAAAACTGAGAGTTACTTCAAGGGCACTTAGTGATACGAAGAGCTACTAGTTTCTTACAGACTTCCTGAACAATGGAATAATGATGAATAATGAAGTTCTAGGACATACAATAGTAGGCACTCTTCTTACCATCGTCATTGCATCCATTTGAATATCATCGCTAGTGGAACTGATTCAAAAAAGTACAGTACTTTGACCCTCTTGTTGACTAGTTTTATTTTTAGAACATACCCAGCGGGCACCTTAGGCAGTTCACGGGGGCTACCAGGTGCCCCTGGGCACCACGTTGGTGACCCCTGCTTTAAATTGACCACAAGTAAAAATGTGAATGGTTGTTTGAACTGACTAGAACACTAGAGCATATGTGTATAACTCAAGGCCCGGGGGCCAAATACGGTCCACCAAGCCGTTTTGTGTAGCTCGCAGGAGTTTTTATAATCAACCACATAATAATCAATTGCAGAAACATGCATCAGTCTGTTATGGAGTAGTTACGTCTATACCAGTGGTCCCTAACCTTTTTTGTTCCAAGGACTGGTCAGCCGGTACCACCTGTTACTACAGACCACTAATAAGGTGCTGAGCATTGAAGGATCGTTAAATTTTCAAAATAAATCATCTTTTAGACTCTGTTCTGTTTGTATGTATTAGAGTCTGAATGACATATTATTTTAAAATATTGCCAGATTATCTTTAAATAAAGGAAGTAAATGGATATGACTGGATTTTCTTTTTAATGAAATAAATTAGTAAAAATTAAGCACATTTTTTCACTGTGTCCCACTGCGGCCCGGTACCAAATGACCGCCGGACTGGTACTGGTCCGTGGACCAGAAATTGAGGACCCCCGATCTATACAGTCTTCCATTTACAACCGGCCCTTCAAAGGGAACTGTATTGATGATGTGGCCACCGGTGAAAATTAGTTTTACATCCCTGGTCTAGGGTCTACAATGATGGTTTGCTTTGGCATAAGATCTCACCGCGAAATACAAAGATAAAGACTAATGAATAATAAAACAAAAGCAGGTAATTGAGAAGTTTTGTCCAATTGTAAGGCCCTGAAATCAGAAAAAGTTATCACTGTCTTAGGAAGGTGTAAAAATAATGCCGTTGAGGTGTTTCTTAAGAGCTGGTTTTTTTTTTGTTAATTCTTTGTTTTTAGTGCGTAAGGTGTCATTTGTGTTATCAAATGTTTCTAAACAATTTGTGCTTTTCTTTATTTCTGCATCTAGGATGGCTCCAAAGGAAGTGGAAATATCCCTCTCACCACTGCCACAACCACCAGCACCAACAGCAGCAGCTTCTCCAAACTCTACAAACCTTCAAAGGACCACAAGGAAAAGCCTCCAAAAGACTTGAAAGAGCCAAAAAGTGCCTTCAGAGACTCTGGCTGGGAATCCAGCAAAGCTCCCAAAGAACCTTCCAGAAAACCCAAAGAGAACCAGCCCCTTAGAGATCCTAAGATGGGCTTCAAAGAACCCAAGTCCTTGACCAAGGAGCATCGGACTGAAGGTATCAACCATGGGATTAACAAGCGTCTGTCGGCGCCCGACACTGATGACCATATGGCCAAAAAACGTAAAAAGGGATTTGTGGATTCGTCAGGGAAGCACGTGTCGGGTTCAGATCCTCTTCATTCGGATAGGAAACTATTAAAGGATAGAACGCAATTGAGAACAGCTAAATCACGGACCGACAGGGACGAGACTCGCAAAAAGGCGTCAACACTTCCTCCATTCCAGGAACTGGTGGACCCCAATGACTCCGATGTGGAGGACCAGTTCGCGAAGTCGGATGTAAGTATTGCAAATAATAAAATTCAGAGATGTTTTTGATGGGTGGCGCTCTGGCCCAGAGGCAGTGTCTCTGTCATTGGTGTGGAACCCCAGGGCTCACCTCCTGGGCAAGTTCGAATCCCTGTTAGGGTGGTTGGTACCTTCCAGTAGACTCACCACCTGCAGGAAGGTTCGGGGGGGTTGGTACCGTGCAGTGTGATTTGGGTGGCGACTGCTGCCCCCATGACCCGGTAACGGATAAGAGGATGGAAATGGGTCGATGTTTTTGATGGCAAATCAAAACAAGTAATTGAATAATGAGAGGTCCGGGGGGTGACTAAGGTTTTTTGGGGCCTTTGGGTTTGTCGGAGAGAGGGCGGTAAAACCTTAATGGTCTTAGATTTGTTGGTGGTCAGTCTGTCCTTGTTGCAGAAGAGCTGTAAAGTCAGATGACCTACAGGGAGAGAATGATTTTTAATGGCGCTCTGGTGGACTGCATGGGGCCTGGGCCAGGGAAACTCTATGACGGGGTGGGAACCAATAAACCTAGTGGGAGTCCTCTTGCTTTAGTCTGGGTGGTCAACGGGGGAAATTGACCCAACGGGCATATTCAAAACCTGTGTTATCCTATTGACAGATATTTGGACATCGATGTATGTTCAGATTAAATCAAATGAGATTAAATCAAATGGTGAAATGCGTCTTCGTCCCGGGGCCTGACTTGCCCAGGTTCAGTACAAAAGGAGACAGTAGTAAAGTAGGCGCTCTGCATGAATAGCCTGACATTCATCTGGGTTGCCTGGTCCGCAAACATTTGGTGGAGACCCCTCCCCATTAAAAAGGCCTGTTTTAAAGCCAAACAGCAGAGGAAAGATTTATGGTTTTACAACACCTGAGGAGAAAGGGAGACACATTAGTGAATAGCGCCAAGTTCCCCTTTAATCCTTTTAGCGACGGAGCGTAGAACAAGGGTGAGCTTCTGTCAAAGAAAGGTCTGGATCCCCGTGTTTGAAGCACTTTTCTTTTATGCAACAATGTTTTTGTTTTTTCTTTCTTTCATCTCATCATCACACACTTTGCTGGCCTAAGCAGCGGGAAAAATGTTTTGCTTTTGTCCGATTTGAACTAAAATGCCTACTAAGTGGTTTTTTTCCCCCATTCGTAGACTGGGGGTGGGGTCACTTGTAAAGGGGATGTGAGGTGACAAATGCCAGGTGTTTGATTTTCCCCAGGCTCGCTACCCCGGTGGCCGTGCGCCGGGTCCACAGAGCGCCACTCTCACGTGACCACTCCTTTGATGTTGGTGTTTGTCAGCGAGGGCTGCGGCGAGAAAAAAAAAAGGAGGAAATGTGGGATAGGTGATGACATAAAGAGAAAGCGGGTGGCAGTGTTTGAAAAAGAATCTTGTTTTTAACGCGGCGGATATGGGTGAAGACGGAGTGATTTGTCGCTTGCAACAAAAATGTTTCAAGCATAGATTCAATGTCAGACATGTTTCTGGGAAAGTGTCTCATTTAATAGCAACACTATCCCGTAATTTTCCGAATGTTATTTTTTTTAAATGAATGTTCAAATGAACATATAGCAACACTATCCCGTAATTTTCCGATTTTTTTTTAAATGAACGTTCAAATGAACACTTGTATGAGTAACAAAAAAGGAACATAAACATTCAAGCAAGTTTCAACAAAAAACCAATTTAGAGTCTGGGTGAGCCAAATTTTACAGAAATAAATTAATTTCTAAATTTAAAAAATAAAATGTAATTGGTGACATCACCTGTGAAATTGTGTTATTACGGTTGTACTAATTCATCTTTTAGGTGTCGGGGTTTGTGTTTTTGTTGTCTCTCATAAACTACGTCACAAGACGCACACACCCCAGCCCCTCACCCCCCAAAAAAAGTCCATAATTTTTATTTATGCTGGGCCTTGTTGACTTGTTGATTCAGGTTGAACTAATTGGATAAAGTCCTTCAGTGCGATACAGCTGAAGGAGTTGCTGTGGTAACTGCACCAGAAGTCTGAAAGGTAATCCTGGAAGTCTCCTTCCAATTAAAATACTCGAACTACGGAATTAGAGAGTCAAATCAAATACTGCCAGTCAGCTCATTCTCGTCTGACAGCATTTGATCCTGGGCTGAGGGAATGGTGCCGAAGGTTAAGAAGCGAAGCCCGCTGGCCAGGCCAGTAAACTACAACTCCACTGTTTATTGTCCTGGAAGAGGGCTGCTTTGGTGGCTCTGAGCAAAACAGGACAAAGGCCCTAAAAAGGAGTGGCGCTAAGATTTATGGCCTTCTGCAAGAGCTGTCCCATAAACCAACAGACCAGCTGGGTGTTGTTTGTTGGCAGGAGGTGACAACCATTGAAGTCACTCTCTGCCTTTTATCCTCACTTCTTCCTTTCTCCCCGTAGATTGCATGCATTTTGTCACTTCTTCCTCAATTTGTGTTCTAGTGTGCACTTTTGTGGTTTTTTTTTTTTTTTTTACTTAATCGAAATACTTTCAATCACAAATCAATTTAGACAACACACGATGTACCTCTGAACTATCAAAAAAAAAATTTAATTTTGTATTATAGATTAGTTAAAGAGATAGCAAGTTTGGTTGTCGTTTATCTTTCTTGATATGATATCAAAAGAGTTACAGTGGGTACGGAAAGTATTTGCTAAAATCAAAAAAAGTTCATTTTATTTCTCATTAATGTACACTCGGCACCCCATCTTGACAGAAAAAAAATAGAAATGTAGAAATTTTTGCAGTTTTTTAAAAAAAAAGAAAAACTGAAATATCATTTTAGCAAATGGCTGCAATGAAACAAAGAGTGACAAATTTAAAGGGCTCTGAATACTTTCCGTACCCACTGTATAAGACAACCAAACATGGTTTACAATTGGCTAAAAAATGACTCAAATCTAGCCTAAAATTGTTTTTTTTAAAAAGCAAAATTTAAAAAAAAAAAATTGCCAATTTTACCCTTCTTATGTATTTATCATACATATACATCAGCATTTTTATGAGGAAAAACAGACTAATCTAAATACAAACGTCCACCCAATGACTCTCAACTAAAAAGAAAAAAAAAACAAAAAAAGTGTCATTTTTTAATTATAGTAGAATTTTGTGCAAATGCATGATGACGCTCACACCTGTACCCCTCCGTGACTTCTTGTCAGAGCTTCAGCAAAGTGTTAATATTTATAACTAATTAATATGATAATCAGATAAAAATAAAAAAAACTGTCATAAAAAAGTTGTCAAAAAAAATCACTTCTTTTTTGGTTTAATAAATGCATTTTCTCAGATCAGCAGACAAAGCAATGTATATTCATTTAAAAAGTAATTGAGCTTATGGTAACACAAGCGAAAATCAGAATAGGAGTTGATCACCAAAAACGGTAGCGAAAAGAAGTAAAGTAATATTTCTGTTTATTTTATTTATTTTATTTTATGTTATATAAAGTTATATGCTGACGATGTATCAAATCCATTGGGTTAAATCAGAATAGGAGTTGATCACCAAAAGCGGTTGTAAAAGAAGAACTAAAGTAATATTTTTGTTTATATTATTTATTTTATTTTGTTATATAAAGTTATATGCTGACGATATATCAAATCCATTGGCTGATCCATTGGGTTGTTATTGTTAAAAAGTCATTGTCATTCGATGGCACAACTTGTACTCAATTTGCAATGATTTTGAGATGAGTATGTGGACAAATGGACCATTGACATTGAGGAAAAGGACAGGACAAGACACCAGTGACAACATAGAACCCTAATGTAATCAGAATTCAGAAAATCTCTGTAGTTCTACACCAGTGTTTCCCAAACTTAGGACCCATATTTTAAAAGTCACAAATCTCCGCGACCCGTGTCACTAGACATTATTCGTTAATCACAAAATAAATGTGTACTTGAGTCAAATGCGATTGCGTGTGCGTACTGTCCAGAAACAGACCAATTTTCTTTTCCATGGAGTCCGACAGTCGTAGGCTACATATCGCACCTGAAAAGCATTCTGGGCATGAGCCGACGATTCACTGACCTACCTTGCGCGTAGTAATGTGTATGAATCAAAATCCGAAAATCTTCATTGAATACAATGTTATATATGCAATCGCCACCGCGTCGGCCTACTCTCCATTCCACCATCGGTCTTGTCTTTTGCAACGTTGTTGCAAGTTTTGATTGGATTAGAACGTTGTTCTAGTGCTTCTTGTTACATTGTGTTTAATCGGTTCTCGAACGCAGTCGAGGTTAGTGGCAGATTTTTTTTTTGGCGCTTTTGTCTAGCGTGCAGAAAGACAGGACAGAATGCTGACATTAAATACATAGTCTATAATTAATTATACACTATTGGCAGCTATTTTGAGGTTGGATACAGATAGCTGCTGCGATGACTGTGAACTCCTGGGAATCATGATGCGAGACGACCCCCCAAAAAAATTCTTGCGACCCACCTGAGGGTCGCGACCCAGTGTTTCAGAAACAATGGTCTACACGAGCTCTTGATGAAAGTCAAGATTTAATTTTTGGAGCACTCTTAATTTTTAGAAAGTCAAGATTTAATTTTTGGAGCACCCCATATTTTTGGAGCTTCCCAAAATTAAGGGTGTCTGCCCCCCCAAGGCTCACGGAGCTATTGCAGGAGGACAAAGTAAGGAAAATGTTTTTCAATTTCAATGGTTTATTAATTTGAACTACAATTTGGTAACTACAGTGGTTCATAATTTTAATTCAAATTGCGAATGTGTTGATGCGGTTGGGCCTCGGTTGTTTTGACAAAATGTCAGCCAACCACCCAGCGATAATGCAATGCAATCAAAAGACTATTATTAACCAATTAAATACAGACGATGGACTTAAGAAAGGTTTTAGCGTTATGAAATTCCATTTCCTGCAGCACGGTCGATTGGGTTCACGTTGCGTGCGTTGTTGTTTATCCGGGTCCTTGATGAGTTTCATCTGTTGGAAATCTTTCGCCGAGCTCGTGCGTTGTCAGGTTTTCAAACAACTTTATTGTCACTGCGTGAACATAAACAAACATTATTTGATAAAAGAGTGGACAGAAAAAAAAAAAAAAAACATGTCAAGTTACAAAACAATGCGACCTTTTGAGGACATGGAGCATTCGCGTATGCCACTGTCTTCAGTTTGATCATAATCATTTGATCTTAATGTTCTGGTTTGTATTCATGTATTCTCTTCACTCTGTGCCATTTCCCCTGCAGGTCACATCTGCACTTGGTTTATTTTGTTTCCAACATGTCACGGCCTAAAATACATTTTCTTGGCATTTAGTTGCTTCGTCAGTAGCCTGCGATTCCACACTCGGTCTCCGCAGCCTCTACAGTCCAGGGCATTTCTCGTGTTCTCGTAAATGTCCACTACGCTTTTGGCCACGGGGGCACGGGGTCAAGTTTTCTCAAGTGGAGGAACAGGGAGCTGAATTAATTGTGATTAACTCTGATGGTTGCTTCAGATGTGTCTCCAGATAAAATAAACTCGATGAACTGGAGGTCTGTGCTTAAGAGGAACAACTCGATAAGATGTTTTTTTTTTTTTTTTTTACAAGGTTCTGCTGCTCTGTTTGAACAATAGTTGGAAGGCCGAGGCCGAGAGCGACATAGATGCAATCAGAGGAAGTCTCGTATTAGAGGAACAGATTTTCTTTTGATGCCAGAAAGTGAGTGAAACACTCACTAGCATATGTTGGAAGGGCGGTTCTGGTGTTTTTAGCTGCGGTATATTTATATCCCAGACTTAAGGCCAACACTCTTCTGTATATTTTAATCAACAGAAAATAGATTTTTTTTTTGTCCTGCTTGTTAGGGATTTACCGATGTGATGTTTTCAGATACACTTTGTACGTCGACCGATCGTAGATAAACCCTGTATTTCACTATCTGGAAAAGACTCAAGTTATCAGGACTGACTTAATCATTGATTTGCTAAATTTGTAAAGTAAAATGTAGCTAATTAACATGTAGGGAGAAATTCACATACTCGTTATGTATTGTCACTTGGAACATGTATTGAATTGGAATTCAATTACATTTGAATTGAGGTTATTTTTTTTAACTTGGAACAGCATTTAAGATAAACAGGAATCGGACTTTCTCGGGAAAATATCTTCCCGGTGGCAAACCTTACCTGAGCTCAAAGTGTTACAACAGGCAGCTGAAATTTTTTTCAAACATAAAATTTGACTAAATAGATCGGTACTTTTGGATCCCCACCATTATACGATACCCAAGCTAACTATTAAGCCAACGTCGGGACAGATATCGGATATAAATATCAGTGTCAGTGCATGCTTAGTTGTAAAGTGTGGTCCCCAATGTTTCTTTTTCAAATGAAATTATTTGTGATTATTATTATGATTATTCTGATTTATTAATTGAAACAGATGGTTTCAATAGTATCTGTTTAACTGAATCTAATGTTTTCTGCTCTCAAAAACAGATATTACATTATCGTCACAGAAGCTTTAAACATTTGGACATTAGCATTAAAAAGAGAGGGAAAAAAATATTTCCGTCAAATTCAAAGAGTCAAATGCTGTATCTGAACGATGTCAAAATCAGCCTACACTAAATTACATTTAAATTCCACATGTAATTTGATGTTTGACTGGACTTTTGACTGATTGTTCTGAAGTTCTATTTGTTTTTAACAGTGTTTTTTTCTTCTTCTTCTTCTTCTTCTTCTTTAACAGTCTGAACAGCCCAGTCCAGCCAGCTCTAGCTCCAGTTCCGGCTTTGCTCCCACTCATCATAAACGCCAAGGTAAATATGTGCTACTAACTAGGAATGGCTTGATCCAGCAGTCCGATATCAGAATCGAACATCGGTAAAAAAAAAAAACAGCTATAGCTCGTCCGATCCAATACGTAACCCCAAATTCTCAACGTAACTTTTTAACGCAACAAAAAACGGAGACGCTATCGCCTTAGCAACATCAGCCCAGCATGGTATCTGTATCAGCAGATACTCAAAGTTGCAGTATCAGTACAGTACAGAGAAAAAAAAAAGAAAAAAAAAAGTTGTATCGAGCCATCCCTAGTACTAACCTCCAGCAGATTTTGTGTTTTAATGTGTATTTTTGTAAAAGAAACTATTCTGTACAATTGTCCAATAAACACTACAGATTCTGACCAATCCCGTAGCATGTCATGCAGGGGGGGAGGGAGGGGAGCAGTATAACTTGGGAAACGAAATAGACCAAAAACTGGGAACGTATCCAAGTGTGTTGGCTTCTCTCCTATCAAGCTGACCTCTACTTCCTTTTTCTGTCTTGGATTCAGTGGTGGATTTTATTATAAGGAAAAGGGTGGCTCTCCCTGCCCACACACACACAGGTAACTGCAGCACGAGATCACATGTGCATGGAGAACATTTCCACCTGTGCTCGTCTTTTGACATTTGCACGACCATTCATGCAGCCCCTCATCGCCGTCGAGCAAAATCCTTGATGTTTCCAGGGCTCCGGAGCGATGTTTGTCTTACCGAATCCATCGCTGAGCGACACCGTCGCGTTATTGTAATGTGTTTTTAATTATTGTGAACACTCGGTGCTTATCGCTTTATTATATAAAGTCACATCGGTGCCAAGTGTAACAAGCCAGTTCAGTTTTTTTCCCATCAGGATAGAAATAAAATCTTAGGAATTAGGACGTCTTAGCGACTCAATTATTTAAGAGTTGTCTGAGACGGAGTGACTCACGAAAATGGAACAAGTGAAAGCAGCTCGCACTGCTCTTCTACAAGAAATAAAACAAACATGTTTCAGAAAATATGACCCATTTAATTTAACTGGGTTCTTGGTTCTTGGCCTTAAAAAGGTTTGTTTACTTGGAATGAAAACATTTTGTATAAAATGAAGAAGCACCATGTCCGAGACACAGCAGGAAAATTAAATGTTCCATTTTACCGTAATATCTGGACTATAAGTCGCTACTTTTTTTACACTCTTTGAACCCTGTGAATTAAACAATAATGCAGCTAACTTGGGTTTTTTTTGGGGGGGTGGGGCTAACGAAATTCATAACGCTAGCGATCAATGACTTTTCTGGTAGGCTACTGTGTGTTATATTAGTAACATACGTCTGTCTGTGATTGGCTGTGTGCGTATATGTGCGTGAGGCAGGGGAGAGAGCGGTAGCTAAAGTCGAGAGCAGTTTGAGCCTTGTCATGTGACCAACTTCCCTGTTTCTGTTTACCTCTGCTGTGGACAAGCACAAAGTGAAGGGAGTTAGCCCCAGAGCTAATGTTAGCTTCAGACCTGGAGCAGATCACTAAGTCTCCCCTGTGTATTCCAACTACAGTCGGGGCGCTAAAGCAAACGCGCTAAAGAAAGAGCTAACGTGTAACATGCAGCTGTGTTACAGGCACTGGTTGGAAAGAAGCATCTATTTAATTAAAAATTAAAAAATATATATTTCTGTGTAAATATCCCATGTTACAACATGGACACCTGCGGCCTATATATGTACAATTATTTTTTTCTTTTCAAATTTAGTCGGTGCAGCTTATGTTCAGGTGCGCTCAACAGTCTGGAAATTACGGAAATTTTTAAAAAAAATTATTTCTGAATAATATTGTGTGCATTCAGATCTAGTCAATCCCTGGTTCCTGTGAGATTTATGTGAAATGTGATGTTTCTGTTGGTTTGATGCATATTATGGAGGCAGAACATGAGCTACAGCACTGCTACAAATACATGGCTTTGTCCAAGGTCTGTGATTGGTCTTTCATTTGAGGGAATGTGGAGTCACATACAGTGTGTAGTAAAAACCAAACAACACCCCTCATTTCTCACCATCACTCCTCCGCGCAATATGATCCTCTGAAAAGTGCATGAGTTTCATTGTTTTCTTTGTTTAGCTGGGAATACCAATAAAGATTCACCGTTTTTTTTTGGTTTTTTTTGTTTTTTTTTTACACAGTCCTGGGCCCCCTGCAGTCGGTGATGCAGGACCTGCACTCTGATGACAACGATGAGGATTCTGAGGAGGACGATGACAACGACATGGACTCTGACATGGAGCGGCTGGCGCACACGCACATCACACACCACCAGCGCAGGTGAGACGGTCATCTCGGTACATGGTGTAGACGAGGACAGCAAACTCATTTACTTTTAACAAAGGAATCTGGCAAATTTTTACAGCGAAAAATTTTTTTTTTTTTCTGATAAAACATCATATCGTATCGTATTGTAGTCATCTATCGTTGTCTCTTTCCAATTGTTTACCAACGTTACATCACGTTCTATTCTTATTCTTACTGACAGTCTCGGATTTTAATGACTATACTTTGTAAACTATGTAAAGTCGCCCCCTAGTGGCTACATCATACTTCCGTCTGGCTTGATACAGTAAATGATTTTAGCTCATAATTCTCCAAATGTTGTGAATCTGAAGATTTGCTGTTGAACGTCAGAGAGAAACCCCGTGTGGTGGATAATGTAACACACCTCAAACTCGAGGCCAGGGGACCAAATCTGGTCCGTCGAGACATTTTGAAATTGCCCGCGAAGGCTTCAAAGGCAAACATTGCTTAACATTAAAGGTCTAGGCTGCTTTAAAGATTTTTTTTTTTAACCTCAAGTCTGAAAATCAACCAGTATTCTGCAATTTTTAAAAAACAGAATCGATGCAGAGTGAGACAGCTGTTAAATAAGTTAAGAATAATAATGTTTAATACTGCATTTTTTATTTTATTTTTACGTTTTTAATTTGTTGATAGTTTTACTTGAAACTTTTGACTTTTATTTGTAGAATTCAGAAGTTCTTAACATACACAACGATATAGTTATTGATAACGATATAATATAGTATTAGTAGTATGTAGTGTATATATATGTATATATATAGAATATGTAGGTATATGTATATAGATGTATATATATGTATGTGATAATATAGTAGAGATTCAGTCTATTATCAATACATTACATAACTTTTTGGAGCTACAGCACATATTTTACATTTCACAAAATATTGGTGACATTCTGAAATTATTACATATTTACATTTTAAGTTGCAGCCTTTTTTTTTTGGTAATCCTGCTTTTACCTGTTCAGGGTCAGTTTAAGTGACGGCAGTGAGAGTGACAGCTCCTCACCTTCACCTCGCCACCGCAACGACGCTCCACCCTTGTTAAAGACTACTAATAACCAGGTAAATATCTCTGAAGTTATTGTTCTCTTTGGCTACATTTTGATTTATTCGCAACCATCATCATAAAAAAAAAACACCCCAAAATAAATTAAAAGTTTTACATCCCCGCAAATCGAAATACTATTGAGAATCTGATAACATAACACTGTATGAGTTGCTGCCACCTAGTGACTGGAGGATTGTTATCATTCAAGCATTACAGCAGTGGTACACTTATGTCCAGAGTGACATATTCCATTGGAAGCCCCTCACGCTTATATAAATATAATCCGCACACCCCTCTCTTATATCAAATATATTTATCTATATATTGTGTTCAGCAGCAGAGTTGTTGAAAATAATAAACTGAGAAACTCACTTTCAAAAGGAAATACCATATATGGCATTGGTTTGGAAAATTGGAAAATAAGCCTTGGCTTTATCGGCGTAAAAATGATGGTGTGTCTAGACGAGACTTTTTGTAAAAAGCCTTTTGGGGTCAAAATAGTCGATTCGTTATTTATTCTTTTTGAATATGGGTAAAAAATATTTATAATGCCTACAAATAGAAGTTAGTATGTCAGTAGTGAATTTTCTTATGCTGTTGCTCTGCCCTGGCCAGCTATTTAGCTAGCATGTGTCGTCTGGCTAAACAAAACAAAACAATACAACATAAATCTCCCTGCTTTTTTCTAATGAGCTAAAATGCTAGTAAAAATATATAGGGTCAAGGGCTGGTAGGGTTAGTAGGGTGAGTACATCCGGGCCATGTCCTAGTACCAGCTGTAAACTACGTCAACTGCTTATGAATCATTCACACATTAATGCTGTTAACTCTGTTTACTCTGTCAGATCCTGGAGGTGAAGAGTCCGACGAAGCAAAGCAAACAGGACAAGAACAAAAACTTAGAATGTGATAAGGTACAAAGGGACTTCTTCTGATTTTTTTATCATACAGAAACACATAGTGATTGTGTGTGCACCAGTTTCAATGACCAGTCAGCCAGTACCGACCGCTACTGTGGACCGGTTGATGAATTATCATTAAGGATCATTCCATTTTCAAAATATTTGCAGTCTCAATGACCTTATTTTGAATTATTGCCAGATTATCTTTAAATGAAGAAAGTACACAGTGAGTGGATTCTCTTTGAATTAAATCAATTAGTAAAAAATAAAATACATTTTTTTTACACTGTGTCCCACTGCGGCCTTGTCCAGAATGACATACAGATCAGCAGCAGTCCCCGGACTGGGGTTTGAGGATCTCTGATCTAAATGACGAGACCTTAGGAGAATTGTTGTTAAAGTGAATTAAACTTTTGTTGGTGTGCTGTTATCAAAGAATATATGACAAATATTGTGTTGTCCTCATTTCAGCTTGATTTATGTACAGTATGTATTCATGTATTTACATGCATATGTATGTACGTATATACTATATGTATATATGTATGTATATATTTATAAACATATATGTATATGAGTAGGCCTGGGTGTATGTATGTAAGTATATATGTGTATAAATATATATATATATGTATATATGTGTTTATATTTATGAACATATATGTGTAGGTATGGGTGTATGTATGTATGTAGGTCTGTATATATATATATATATATATTTATGTATATATTTATAATATATGTATATATGTGTAGGTATGTATATAAATGTATGTATGGGTGTATGTGTCCTGTGTACATACAGTGTATGTATATATATATATATATATATATATATAT